AAAAAAAAGTTTTTATATGGATTTGAATGATTGTTTTGAATTCTTAGAATTTTGTGCATTTGCAATGTACCTAAGTTAGTAGCGAGCGAAGCGAGCTTGGTTTGCGAAGCGAACCATATAAGATTGCGTAGCAATTTTCGGGGGTTGGCGAGCGTTAGCGAGCAGGGGGCTCAGCCCACTAGTTATATATAATAGATTATAGAACAGGATAGTATATCAAACATATTGCAGGTTCGTGAAAAACTCCATGATTTGAAATACTATAATGTAATCGGTCTTTTTGGTGAAATGAAAAACAGTTTAACAATATAACAGTGCAGTAATTCCAAGTTAGCGAAAATTGTAAAGAATGAAGAAAAATTAAAATATTGAATTTATATATATCCATGAGTAATTGTTAAAAAATACGTAGAATAACACTGGGGAACAATTTTCTTTTTGTTTTATGTTGCATGAGATTTTTTAAATGGATCTAGGATCTTTTTACTATTGTTGATTTAGAAATATTATATAAAGCAGAGGATCGCATAAAATGTTGCACAAAATCTTTAGTGGAGTTAGGGCATAGCATCAGGGTTAAATTGCATTGGAATCCATGCCTGGAAATAGCATCGTGCACCACTAGAGGAGCCTCGTTATTATGAAGTTTTTTTTTGTGCGTGCTTCTAAACATCTCATAATAGGGAAGCGCCTGTAGCTGCGTACAGTGATGCTTCTGAGCGTGGGTTCCTATGCAATTTTAATCCTGATGTAATTTTAAAAAAATTTAACTTTAGGAGCAAAACTAGTTACAGATTTGAAATTATCACACCCACCTAACTATAGTGAAATCTTCACACGGAGTAGACAACATCAAGTATTTGTATAAAAATTTGATCAATCTTATGGTATCTATCTTAATGGTTCGAGAGGGTGTCCTCAAATATGATAATTAATTAGTGCAGGCGATATTTTAAGTTACGAAATCAGGCAAAAAAGCGTACTTTCTCTGATTAAACAGATCTTTTCTTCAGCGGATTCAGGTAATTGTGAACCCCAAAATATAAGGGGTAGTCGCAATCTGGGAAATTCGGTTCCCGTAGTTGCGAGCGATCCAAAGTTAATTTTACTTTTTGAGTATTTCTCCTTATCTCAAGAATTTCTTAAGAGAAATGAAAAATTTATGCATACAATTATAAAATTCGCTTATTTAAAGATAATTCAATGCAATAATCAAATTTTAGTAAATATTTATTAATTAATAGTCGAAAAAAATTGAATAGACAGGTAATGCAGCTTTTTGCATCATTTTAAAGTATGTAAATTAACATGGCAAAATACAAAATTTGAGCGAAATCAGTCGAATAGTTTCTGAGAAATCGAATTTAAAAAAAGTCGTATATATGAAATTCATTTTCTCAAGAATTATTCAACCGATTTCGTTCAAACTTCGGATTTTGCCATATAAAATTAAAAACTTTAAATTGATGTAAAAAATTGTATACCTTATAATTCAATATTTTTTCCGCTTTTATTAAATAAAATAATAAAAAAAATACTAAAATTTACTAAAATTCATTTTTACATGGAATTATTTTTGGAAAAGCGAATTCTATAATTATGTGCATGAAATATTCAATTCGCTTAAAAAGTTCTCGACTCTTAGTGAAATACACAAAAAGTAAAATTGAAATTAAGGGGTCCAAACTTTGGATCGCTCTCCTGACCAAACTATGAGGGTCATATTTCTCATATTTTGGGGGTTGGAAATTCAAATGTGTCGAAGAAAAGTTCAGAGAAAGAACGCTTTTGTGACTGATTTAAACTTAAAATATCGCCTGCACTAGTTAATTAGCATATTTGAGGTGACCCCCTGAACCCTTAAAATTGAGTCTCAGAACGTGAAGATCCGATCATTAAAGCAAAAGTTATTTAGGATTGTCCATTTATTTTTGTTATGCTTTGTACATTGAAGAACATATTACCAGAGATGCTCAAAGGAATGACGTTGGAAATACTTTCAGCTCTATTTTCATGCTTAGTAATAATTTTCAGCCTTTAAGAATGATTTAAAAAATAGGATTTAGATAAAAGTTCCTACTTACTCATTTTTTCATTGACGAAACAAATCGACTTGTACAAAAATCAGGCTATTTCACAGTATTTGAGGTAAATAAAATTCAAGCTTTTTAATCAACATTTTTCCAGACATAGTCCTTATTATTATTTTATTCAAATAAACAAATGTTTCAGATATATCAACAAAAGTTTTCAACTCTCCTTTGTACAATACTTAAAGATAAATGTTTGCTGTTCTTCTGCTGCTGTAGGCCATTGGATTTTTTATTTGAAGAGGGTTGTATTTTACTGTTTTTAAACGGAGAGACCTTATACCATATCCAAGATAGAGTAAAAATTACTATTTCTATTACAGTCACAATGCTTGCTCCCAAGTAAAAACCAAGAGATCCACCAAGTTGACCTAGTAGAATAAAATAAAAGAGGAATTATGTAATAGAAAATAATTTATAATCTAATATTAGATTATGGTATGATAATTATAATTTGTCGGGATAGGTAATCCAAACTGTGACTAAATAAACATATTTTTTACAATATTTTCTACAACTTATTTAAAAAAAGAGAAGATTTACTAGATATAATGCCTTAAAATAAACATACTACATCCTGTCAATGGCTAATAAAGCATTTTTCTGATACTGGCGAGAGCGGGCTTATATTGCAGCATTGTCTATCAGTAAAATGTTGTACTAACATAAATAATGTTTCGATTAAAAATTTATAACATCACACATTTGCATCCTGCACAGCAACGCATTTTCCTAAGTTTCTTCGTGCTCTTGTAATACTAGAGCCCTCTACTTTTTCTTATTGGAAACGTTTAGTTGATCCTGCTGATTTTTTTTTTGGAACTCTGAAAGTATATTTTCATGTGTTTTTATTTATTTACTTAATTTTTAAAAAACAACATGTCTCTTGATGAAAATTTTGCATATGCTCAGGGTATACTCAAAGTGCTGCGATGGTCTAATCTGGGTGTTTCTATAAGGAAAAGCGTTTGTACCTTGGGACAGTTTGAAATTTTTCTCATTATTTTTACTTAGGTAGAAATGGTATTATAGTAGAAATGTAAGTAATATCTTATTGCTTACCATTTAAAGAAACTCTAAACACTTTAAAATTGAAAATATGTTATTTTATAAGGGGGTAATAAATTATTTTTTTACACTCTTGCAAAGTAATCCAAGGTACAACATGGTGTTGTAACTTGGAATGCAGGGTGTCGTACTTTGGTATTAAAAGCAAAATAAACAAAATATAACCAATAAATCTTATTTAACGAATATAAAATGCAAAACATAATGGAAGAAACTAAAGAAAGGCTTCTTTTATCTACCAGATTAGTTCATAGCGATGTCCCATGTAATGAAATTTAAATTTTTTATTTATTTTTTCATCTATTCTTAAAAGGAAAGTGTTTGCTCGCGTTTTAAAAATGTATTGGATTCGTCCTAAGGTACAACTCATTGAGAAAAAATGGTTCTAAAAAGTGTTTGCGGTTAGTTATTCAGATTAACTAACCATACCATTAATTAGATCACAATTAAAAGTTCAATACATTATCTTAATTTGTAACACTAATCAATGTGGAAAAAATAGAAAAAAAGTAAATGTAATTATAATAATTTACTTTTCGATGAAATTTTTTCCTCTTATTTTCTAGCTCCCTGAAGTCTCACTTTAAAGTTACCAGCTACGCTTCACCAACTCTTGGCGGCTAAGAGAACAACTATGTCAGATTAGTTTTGTTTGTCGGAAATCAATGGCATACTCATCATCCTAAGGTACATAGTTCTCCCCTACTACTGTGCAGTGCATTTTATAAATATTGTACTTCTGTTGTTTTTATTTCAAATTTGGTTCTTCAGTATTGGAAAAATTCCTTAGTATTATTTATTATGGTATGTCACTATTATGTATTGTTGTTTTGTATTATTTCTCATGATACTAGGGAGATTTCGCACTATTACGTTAGCTACCGTACGCTTCCATACGTAATATTTAAAGCAACTGCACATACTCGTGTTTATTTTAGATGCTACGTATATTTACGTCTTGTTGGCTTGATTAACGTTACAAATACTAAGCTACAAGCACGCTGTTTATAGCTGCTAAATGTTGCTTTCTGTTAAACTAATAACATTTACCTTTGAACTAATAACATGGAATGCAATTTAGAAGAAACGTATATGAGAAATTTTAAAATGAATTGTGTGATATTACAACAATTGGTTGATTCAATAAATTTAAATTTTTTTTTTTTAACAAATTGTCAATAGTTTTGTAAGAAACTAGATAAATTTTCGTAATTTTAAAATGATAAATTACATTTATCTTAATTAAAAACCTTTGTGAGAAAAAGTTTAATTTCAATAATATTTTTGCATTCGGTTATAAATACAGAATTTGTTGATTTCATTTTGAAGTTAAGACATGGTCTATTCTCCCCCCCCCCCGTTAAATTGCTTAAAGTAGGAAACTTTATTTTGGTACAAAAGTGTCCAATACTTAGCGTTTGAATTATCTATATATATATTTCTCTTACACGGCGACAAAAAAAAGCCTCATTACAGTTCCCCGAATGGCAACGCTAGAAAATCGACCAATGATTGCAGCTAAAAATATCACATGTCAAATCTAGCTGAGATGGCTCAACATATAGCGCTTTTAAAAACGGAAACGGAAATAACAATTCAGCTACGGCAATCTCATACTATTAAGCTAGACAGAAGTGAGTAGTCTTTGTCTATAGATCTCTATTTTAGTATTTTGTCGAAAGTGCTTTTTTTTCACGAATTTATTTGACGATTTTTGATTTATATCACGAATTCATTTGTTTTATTATGGTTATTAGTTATTCATTGAAAAATGAGTCTCAGTCAATGAGTCTTTATTTGAATGACTTTGTATTTACTAAAAAGATGTAATTGTTTTTTTTTTAAAATTAATTTGTTATATGGATTTGAATGGTTGTTTTGAATTCCTAGAATTCTGTGCATTTGCAATGTACCTAAGTTAGAAGCGAGCGAAGCGAGTTAGGTTTGCGAAGCAAACCATATAAGATTGCGTAGCAATTTTCGGGGGTTGGCGAGCATTAGCGATCAGGGGGCGCAGCCCACTAGTTATTATTATTAGAATAAATTTGATAAGTATTTTAACCTTGTTATGAATTTTCCTTAGAACAAAAAATCTAACTAATATTTGTAATACAGAATTGCAGTTATCAGAATAGGAGCGTGTTTATTTATATCAAAAAAGTATAACACCGAAATTAAACTTTGAATTTATGTATAAGTGTTATATTTACAAAAGAAGTGAAAGAAATAATCTGCACTCCATTATTTAGACTGATATTAAAAACAAAAACTAAGTTTTTGAATCTTCGGCTGCAAATGTAAATAATATGCTGCATTCTTTATCTCTGAATTCATCAAAATCAATAATCTACCAAATTTTCTGCTCACAAAACCACAGTTTTACAAAGTGCAAAACATTTTGCGTCTGCCAAACGCTTCGAGGAGATCGTTTACGTTCATTGTATTTGTTTGTTTTGATTTTGTGGTCAAAGTTAAAATAAAATTTCACTACATTAGCGTTTTAAACTTAAGGATTTTCGAAAATTCTCTTATTTTCTTGTACGTAAGTTTGATATTTTTTTAACCGGCGCATGCGCATTTCACCAGAACTGACGCATGCGCAATTACTCGAAATCTTACGTACGGGAGAGTACGGAGGCTAACGTAAATTTACGAAATCTCTCTTATGTGTAGTTTTTTATTTTGCTGTTGATGGTTTATAATGATTGTTGTTAATGATTATTTAAAATATATTTTACTTACTTAGGAAATTGCAAGAAGTTGAGGTACGCTCGTATTGATGGTATGTAAAACTCCTTGAGTCATAAATTATTTCCACTCGGCTGAAAAAGCATGTATCCATATAACTTTATTAAGTAGCTTTATAATTTATATAAAGAGTTTAGAAGAAAACAAGAAATAAAAGAGAAATTGAAAACATGATGGTTGAAAACTAATGAATAATGTACAAAAACACACGTAGAAAATAATTTTGATAGAAAAATAGATTTTTAATTTATAATTTTAAATTTTTTATGGATCTAATTAGCAGAAGGTTAAGCATGGAATAGCATATCGGGTAAATGTCGTACGCTTTCTGTTTAGTTTGGAATCTATTATTTCGGAAATAAACCTTTCTTAATTTAATTTGTTTGAAAAACGAATATTATTTGTATTAATCGCTTCGAAGCATTTGATTTGAATCATTTGATGAGAAATTGTTCATTTGAAACAAGCGATTAGAAATATCGATTTTAATCATTGCCGAAATAGACCCATGGCTCTTAATGGCCTTAGAATCTTTTCCGCATCTGTGTAATATTGGATCATTGGATTCAAATCAATGAATTTTATTGGAATCAATGGATTCGTACTCTTAACTTATTCAAACCAGAATATTATGATCAATAAGTAGAGTTAACTTTAATAGAATGAAAATAATTTGCTCAAAGTGATAACAATCATTATTTCGTTACTCAATTCTATGATTTTATGATTTTCTTTTGTTATTGAAACAATTGTAATATTATAAAAAACGAATTCTAAAAAAATTATGAAACAGTAGTGGTCTCCATAGCAACGCATGCAATGACGACGCATGCGCCCTGTTTGCTATTACTCTTGAACATAGTTGAAAAGTGTGATGACACCCAAATAAGGTGTGCACGCCATCAAACCCAAAACAACACCCATTTTTCCAAGGGGTAATTACGGAATAAATAAGGGTATCAATCATAATCTCAGAACTAATTCAACTTTACTGTCGGTTTTGATATAGATATAATTGTTATCCAAAACAACGTTGTTTTGGATAACATGGGAACGGATCATGTAATTAATGTCAACCACCAATTCAGTTCAAATTTCTATTTCACTGTCGTTTTGTTATTGATCTAATTGTAAGTTAAATTAACGAATCACGTAAGTGGCATCAATCATAACCTTTGAAGTAGTTCAACTTTACTGTCATTTTTGATATAGAGCCAACTGTTATCTAAAACAACAAATCATGTAACTGATATCAACCACCAATTGAGTTCAAAATTCCACTTCGCTGTTGTTTTGTTAATGAGCTAATTGTAATCTAAAATAACGAATCACGTAAGTGGTATCAATCATATCCTCAGAACTAATTCAAATTTAAAAGATTTTGAAACTTTACCTTAAAAGGCAAAAGCACAATGTTTGGTTGTATTGAATGGCATTAAAAAAAAATCGAGCTTTTGCCCGCACTACTACCGGTTATAAAGATGACGGCTACTTACTACAGCTTATTATGTGAGGTGATAAAGCCAAAAAGTTAATTTTATTTTCAGTCAAATAAATAAATAATGCAATGCATGAGCTCAACTCTTCTACGTCTCAAGATATATTACTATTAATTTATTTTGGCGAATTTGAAGTGATTTTTTAGATACTTTGCAAGAACAGAGACATGGTTGCTATATTTAGAAAGATATCGTTCGTTTGTCAGCCTGTTTTGGTTCCATTTGACTTGTCTATTGCTATGGTCAAGATTTGCAGCAATTACTAGAGTAGAAATCACCATCCATATTTGCTGCCAATTTGTTTAAACATGTTAAATAAATACTACATTTATTTGCAAAAACTCTGCAACACATATTCTGTATTGTAAATTACAGATTTAACTTACAAAAACTACTAATAAAAATTCTACAAAGCAAAATATTCTGTAAATAAATAACAATATTTACCAACAAAAATTCTATTAAACATGATATTCTGAATTGTAAATAAAATTTCTCACGTTTTGTCTTTTTGCCCAAATCCTATGTAAGTAGCTTGGGTTTTGTATTTGTATTGAATGCAAGGTTCTTGGCACGCTTGATGAAATTTGGACACTGTAATTAAAATATTAAATTAATATGTTAAAACATGTATTTTTGTTTTTGTTCTAGACTTGTATCTTCACCCCTGCTCACTTCTCTTACCAGCCCTTATGATTACAATCACTTTTTGATTCTTGACATATCGCCGCTTTGAAACTAAACCGTGGTAACTCAAAAAAGCAAGTTTCTCAGGAGAGCGATTTCAAACTTTTCAGGAACTTCCACCGCAGGTTGACGCGAAGCTATGGCTACTACTGTAAAATAGTTTACATTAAAAAAACCTGTTTCGTTACATTTTTCAATGAATCAGGCCTGATTCTTGCAGCATTTCTAATTTTGTGGTAATTTCGAAATAAGTTAAGGTACTTTGAGTTGCAACACTTTTCTCTAAAACTTTTATTAAAAGTGGAGAGTTATTTTAAAATACAACGATGTTCTTCAAAATATCCTCCCGAACATTGCATATTTCATTTCCAATTTTGACATACAACAGTGTAGGAAAAAAATCGCTCTCCTGAAAAACTTGCAACTGGCACACTATTACACTATTCCCTAAAACCAAGATGGCAAATAGCGCCAATGCTATAACGGTTTATCTGCTCTCTAAATTAATTTCATGGAACTATGAAGATAAGACCTTGTTTCTCTAAAAGGGTAATTTTTTTTACACAAAATGACCCAAATATCTCATTTCTCGATTTTGAGTTACTATGGTTTAGTTTCAAAGCGACGATATGCCACATCAAAATAAAGTAAGTAAGTAATAAAAAAAAGGAACATTTATCTTACAAGTAAATACATATATACAACAGATAAATATATTTACCTGTAAATATAAATGTTTTACAGGTCATTTATCATTTAGTCATTTATCATTTTTATACTGATTACAACCTAAGAAATCTGTATATTCATGCGGGAATACTGGATGAAAATATGTGATTTTTTAACCAATAGGAATGCACTGGCAACATTGTAATACAGTTTCATACCATTGCGTGTTTATGCAATTCGCGATCGCAACGCTCGAGAACGCCCTCTATCGGGAGCCTGTAAATATCAGACATTAATTTATCGCGTTTTCATTTAGTTCCATCAAAATCTTCGGCCATGACGGACGCCATTTTCTTAGCAGCAAATAAAAATCAAAATTTCCCTAAGGAACAGCTGAAAAACTTGAAAAAACTAACCAGAACATGCTAAACATTGAAGCAGAACACGCCAAGCATTTGAAGAACAATTTCTCAATAATTTTTACCTTTCTATTACCAACAACATANAATGGAAAACTGAAATTTTTATCGTTGGCACAAGCAGCGGGCGCACTTACACCGATCAACGGGCGCCATGGTGCCCGCGGGCATAGGGTTGGGGACCTCTGTAAAACATGTATTTTTATTTTTGTTCCAGACTTGTATCTCCACCTCTGCTCACTTCTCTTACCAGCCCTTATGATTACAATTATCGGTAAAAATATACTTGAGGGTGTCCTTTGGAGAAATTGGCGACTAATGTTTGGCGCCATTCCTGTTTGTACGGAGCACCGTGGTAACAAGAATGGCTGCCAAAACATAATGATATTTCAATAATACATTGGAAAATTTCGACAAAGCTAAAACTTTATAAAATCGAAATAAGCAAAATTAATAAACCTAATAAAATGCATTTTGAATAAAAAAAAATTAATGGAGTAAGCACGGAAAGAAAAGGGAAAAAAACAACTCACTTCTTCATTAAGCTTGAATATCCTCAGATTTAGGTGCACAGAATTCTCTAATAGCAGTTAGATACTATCTAAATTTGTCCTGAATAGAATCTGTGTACCTCCATCGCCATTCTTGTTACCATTTTTATTGCGCACTTACCATTGCGTACATTAGCGTACACCTCCATTTTTTATTGCGTACTTATTTTATTTTGATGTGGCAAACGTCAAGAAACAAAAAATAATTCCATACTGATGACAACCTAAGAAATCGGTATCTTCATACGGGAATACTGGATGAAAATATGTGATTTTTTAGCCAATAAGAATGCGCTGGCAGCATTGTAATACAGTTTCATACCATTGCGTTTTTATGCAATATAGAGAAATAATAAGTATCAAATAAATTACTTGTTTTTAGTATAATATAAAGTATTATACTAAGTATTAAAAATGTATGTAAAAATGTTAAAGTATTAAAAATGATTTTACGTCAAGTATCAAAAGTATAAAATGTTTATTTCAAGTAACGTCAAGTATCAAATAAATGACTTGTTTTTATTATAATATGAAGTATTTAAAAAGGTGTTTGGTCGTTTCTTAAAAATTAGCTTAAGCAGCCATCCCTGTCATTTCGGCCCTGTCGTTTTGGTAACGACGTTTTGATTCCGATGCCATTACGTAACCTTTTGATTCAGTTCGGTTACTAATTCGATTCGTCAATTTGGATATAGACATTCTATCATATTTCTAACTTTTTTTTCTATTACAGTTGTTATGTTTCAATGGCCGTAAATATAATTTTCTTAGCTTGTTAAATTATTTATTTATTATTTCCAGTGGCAGAAAATCAGGTATTTTAAATGGTTATAAGTTTTTAAAAACTATTAACAGTGGTATTTAACGTCGAAATTATTAAAAATATTTACGACTGATGGCCCACAATTTTCTAATGAATTAGCGAAAAAAATTTTTAAGTTTCAATGAGAACTATTTTTTTTATATTCCATTATTTATCTAATTATGTTGCCGATCGGCCTGTGTAGGAGGCTTGTCCTTGAACTGTCCTTGTATCAGAAAGATCCTGGGTTCGAATACCGGGCAAGGCATGGATGTTTCTTTCTCTCTCTGTGTGTTCTATGTCCTTTCTCCTTTGTGTGTGAATGTGACCCGCCCTATAAACTGGTTGTGGTTGCGTGAATGGCGTGGCAGAAGTCGAATTCCTGGCCATAGATGGCACCACTGAAAAAAAACAGAAACAATCGCACCCCCACTGCCTAAACTGGCATACGACAAAAAAAATTCCAATTATGTTAATTGTTATGTAATAGTGTATTGTAAAGTTAAGAAAACATATCAATAAATAAAGCGGGATTTCTGTGCTAACTGCCTCCACGTGGTGCAATTTGAGAACTCCTTTTTAAATAATACCTATCTTAAAAAAACGAAAGTATATGAAAAGAAAATAAATGCTAGCCACCAAAAAATAATAAAATAGAAATAAGGATCATTACCATTACATTGGAATGCTTTCATACTAGGTAAATTTTTTTAAATTTCAATACCTAAAAGAGAAAAACATAAATGACAAGGAAAGGTTCCTTAACGGGACCAAAATGACAGGGCAAAAACGGAAAAGGGACCTAAACGGCGGGACTGAATCGTCCTGCTACGTGTAAAGGGCCGTATGTTATTTTTACATTTAGATATTCAAATGTTACACGGAACAAATCCCAAATCCTATAAGCTTGTGTCATGGCATTAATATCAACACACTTTCAGTTTTTGATATAATTGAAATGAACTTGAGAATCAAAGTATTAAAAAGATTCTTACTATTGTCATGGATTAGACTATTTACGAGACATGTATATGCATCAAACGGTTCGCAATGTCTGTATGCAGAATCGCCTGAAATCAAAAAAGAAAGGAACTTTTAACCAAAAATAACTAGTAAATTTAATTTTCAGATATTTGAAACTAAAAATAAGATATATATGGGTATAAAAACAAAAATGGGAGCAATTTAATTCTTTTCAGTTTCAATTACATTATTGAAATAGAAGAAGATATCATCCATGAAAAATATAATATTCCATGAAAAATATAAAATATTCTATAAAAGCGCTATGAAAGGTTTGCGGAATTACCCATGAGGTATACAAAAACACTTAAAAATCTGATAAAATTAATCATTTTTAGTTTTAATTTTATTAATGAAATTAAAAAAAAGACATTGTCTTTGCGCTTGAAAGAAATATTTTGTGAAAAACTATATAAAGTTGGTAAAGATAAAAAAGTTCGTTAACATCATGTGAGGACAAATCAGTTGTGCTTTGCGATCAGTTCGAGTTGATAGCATTTGAGAGACATACTGGTCGACAAAATTAAGAGATAGAAGACATTTTCCCAAATATCTAAAAAAATACTGAATATAAATAAATGAAATTTGGTATGGATATAGCTTATTCCATGATAATAAAGTATGCAAAAAAAATGACAGTGTCATTCACTGGCAAGACCTATTGCCAATAAATCCAATGTAGTCTGAACTTAAGGATAAAAGATGACAATAAAAGTGAGGCTTGTACAGTTTGTGTTGCCTCTAGTATGGTGTATGGTCACCCCTGACAGACAGACCGCATGCACAACGAGTATTCATGCTGTTAATAAGGGAGTTAAGCAGGACTTGGGGAAGACCCTCCCATTCTTCCACCAGAGCAATTTTTAACTCCAGAATGGTTCTGGGGGGAGGTTGGCGCATCACAATAGCTCTCCCAAGAGCATCCCAGGCATGTTCAATAGGATTCAGGTCAGGGGATTTGGTTGGCCAATCTATTCGTTGAATATCCTCGCTTTCCAGATACTAATCAACCATGAGAGCACTATGTGGTGGCGCATTGTCGTCCATAAAAATGAACTTAGGGCCAACAGCGCCCATGAAAAGACGCACATAGGACTCTAGGACCTCCTGCCTGTACCTCTGGGCATTCACGGAACCATTGTCAAGCACATGGAGTGGTGTGCGGGTATCTTGCATGATCCCTGCCCAAACCATGAGTCCTCCACCAGCATAATGGGCCCTTTCGATAATGTTGCTGGGATGGTATCGGGTTCCAGGCTCCCTCCATATCAATAATCGTCCAGAAATAGCGTCATAGAAATGTGCGTGATAGAAGAATATAGAGTCGTAGAAATGTGCGAATATTCTTCCCATTTCTTAATTTTGTCTACCAGTGTATATGTCATTGACTTATATTGTTTGCATGAAAAATATCCCGGAAAAAAGTGAGAAACCAGTGTCAAAAACAGTTTTTTTGATATTTCACTAAAAAAAAGAAGATACATGGGTCACAAAAACGCATAATAAGTACTATCTATTTCAGTTTTAACAACATTAATGAAATTGAAGAAGACAGTGTTGTTTGCATTCCGAGAAAACACTATTTTTAGATAGAAAGAACTTATTTTAATAACATGCGTGTCTATCCCAAAATAAGCCGTACATTAGAGAGATACCTGAAAGTTAAAATTCAATTTTAATTTGATTGCAACAATCAAATAATTTGTTCATTAAACCACTTAACAAAATATTAAAATAAGATTAAGTTAAATACTGATGTTAAAAAAAGATGAGCTAAATATTTAAATATAAAATATATTCTAGAAAGCTCCTTCTTTATGACTTCTTTTAATTTCAATACAGTTTTTTATTTGCGAGCATTTTATTACTTTCAAACTATTGAAGTAACTCATGAGGTGAAAAGTTCTTCACAGCTATTTGAAGTAAGGACAGAGAATTCAAAGCAGATATTTTATAAAACTTAATGCGTACTACCTCATATAAACAATTAAAGACATTAAAATTAATGATTCTAAAGGCAAGTTCACTCTGGAACTTAGGAAAAATTTTTTTTTGTTGCATAAAAGGTGCTTTAAAATGATATACCTAAAGATTTATGATCAAGAAAAATGTCTCAATACTCGAATTTGGAATTTTTGCGCAGTTCTCATACATTTTAACGCAGGCGTGTATTTTTTTCCAGGTCGGCTAAACTTAGAACATGAGCAAATTTTCACCAATTGACTTCATTTTGTTACGTATATTTAAAATTACATTTTTTTAAAAACAGAAACATTGTTTCATTTAATTGCATAGTGTTACAATATAAAATTTTTTCATTGATTTCTTTTATGAAAAAATTTGAATGTTTGAGCGCTTTTTATTAAAAAATTAAAGAACACTCCATTTTTGCTAAAATTGGTGTATCAAAAATATATTATGTATTTTTCTAGCTATTCTCATATATATATAATATATATATATNAAAGGATAAAATTTGTTTTAAAAATACGGAAAATAAAAGATATAATTGTTTCATCAGCCCACACGATTATATCCGCAAAAAAGAGTGCTTTCTGATATTGTATCAATATAGCCAAAGCAAAATATAATAATACAATACTGTGAGGAATACTCAAAAATTTTTTTTTACAAAAATTAATAAAATAGAACACAATAGGTAAAAATAACACGTAAAAACAGAAAATAAAATAAAATAAAACACAGAATAAAACAAAATCTATAAAGCGAGTAGCGAAATCAAATGTACTTACATGAACGGGAAATTTTTCAAGAATGATTTAAAAAATATTTTCGTAACAAGATTGCCAGATTGTAAAATATGAAAAAAAAAGCGCAAAGTGAGCGTAACTAGAGGAGTTTTATTTTAAAGTGCCGATTTGTTGTGTGTGTGTGTAT